CTCCCCTGCCCCGTTGGCTGCCAGACAGGGAAGCTGAAACTGACAGGCAGTCAGGCCAAGGTGTGAAACGTCCCTTGTTGCTAGTCCTGGAACAGGGCTGGGAGTCCTGATGTTCTTGAGACCTGGGTTTGGCCCGGGGCCTGCCTGGCCAGGAGACTGGCCTGAGCTCTTGTGGGGCCTGAAGGTTGGAAGGGGCACACTAGGAGCAGGGGGCAGGGCAGAGGTGGGGACCGCCCCACGCTGGGTCTGGAGGTTATGTCTTTGGCACCGGCCTCCTTCCCACTGCCACAGATTGAGTTCAGCCCTCACCTTCTCACCTGGGTTACTGCAAAGGGCTCCTGACAACCATCCACAAGCTCCTTCCCTGTCCTCCAGTGTAACAGCTGAGTGTGTCGCCAGCCTGCTGAACCCCTGCGAAGGACCCGCACCCCCACTGCTCAGAGCTCTGTGTGGTCCCTGGGTGCCGACTCCCCAGCACTGCAGACCACAGCTGTTGTCTCTACCTGGCCTTTATCCTTCCCTCAGGTCTTTGTGCTAAGTCACCGCCATTTTCTTCTGGAGAAAGACTTCCCTCCCACATTTAGTCCATGTGGCTTGGGTCGCAGCCATGTGACTCAGGAATAAACATGCATATTCTAGGTCTCTGGCCACAACAGTTGCTTCAGTGATGGGCCAATGAGGATTCCCTGAGGCTTTTGCTGGGACTCCAGGGAAAGAGGCCATTTCTTTTGACTGGGGTTGCTATGCTGGTCAAATACTAGTGGCGACTGTATGGCAAAGAGCCTGGCTGAGAATGACAACAGCACAGAGGAAAGCAGGGCCTGAGAAGGTCAGAGCCACATTCCCAAGAGCAGCTTGTGAGCACCTGGAGCCAGCCATACCTGAAGCCACCTCTAACTCAGAGCTTTTAGTTACGCAGTCAATACATTCCTTTTTTCCCTCTTAAACCTTTTCTTTAAAAAAAAAAAAAAAAAAAAAATGGAGTCTCGCTCTGTTGCCCAGGCTGGAGTGCAGTGGGGCTATCTCAGCTCACTGCAAACTCTGCCTCCTGGGTTCACGCCATTCTCCTGCCTCAGCCTACTGAGAAGCTGGGACTACAGGCGCCCGCCACCACGCCCGGATAATTTTTTTGCATTTTTAGTAGAGACAGGGTTTCACCATGTTAGCCAGGATGGTCTCTATCTCCTGACCTCATGATCCGCCTGCCTCAGCCTCCCAAAGTGCTGGGATTACAGGCGTGAGCCACTGTGCTGGGCCTTTTACAAAATACTTGTTTATTTATTTTGAGATGGAGTCTCGCTCTCTTTCCCAGGCTGGAGTGCAGTGGCACAATCTCAGCTCACAGCAACCTCCACCTCCCGAGTTCAAGCCATCCTCCTGCCTCAGCCCCCTGCAGTAGCTGGGATTACAGGCATGCACCACTATGCCCAGCTAACTTTTGTATTTTTTGTAGAGATGGGGTTTTGCCATGTTGGCCAGGCTGGTCTTGAACTCTTGACCTCAGGTTATCCACCCGCCTTGGCCTCCCAAAGTGCTGGGATTACAGGCGTGAGCCACCACACCCAGCCTTTTTTTTTTTTTTTGAGACAGAATCTCGCTCTGTCGCCCAGGCTGGAGTGCAGTGGTGCGATCTCAGCTAACGGCAACATCTGCCTCCTGGGTTCAAGCAATTCTTCTGCCTCAGCCTCCCGAGTAGCTGGGACTACAGGTGCGCGCCACCACGCCTGGCTAATTTTTTGTATTTTAGTAGAGATGGGGTTTTGGCATGTTAGCCAGGCCTGTCTTGAACTCCTGAGCTCAGGAAATCTGCCTGCCTTGGCCTCCCAACTCTTAAAACCATTTTAACTTAGGCTTATGTCATTTTTAGACAAAAGCAGCCCTTAACCGCTCCTTTTTTTTTTTTTTTTTTTTTTTGAGACAGAGTCTCACCCGTCGCCCAGGCTGGAGTGCAGTGGCTTGATCTCAGCTCACCACAACCTCCACATCCCGGGTTCAAGCAATTCTCTTGTCCCAGCTCCCCAAAGTAGTTGGGACTACAGGCACGCACCACCACACCCGGCTAATTTTTGTATTTTTAGTAGAGATGGGGTTTCACCACGTTGGCCAGGCTGGTCTCGAACTCCAGGGCTCAAGTGATCCACCCACCTCAGCCTCTCAAAGTGCTGGGATTACAGGTGTGAGCCATCATGCCTGGCAACTACTCCCTTTTAAGACTTCTCTCCCTGACCTTCCTCATGTATATCCCAGATGCCTGTCCTGTCCTACAGCAAACCTGGCAGGATACTTAATGACTGTACTGGGACTTGAACCCACCTGACTGTGAGCTTGTCTGTCCTACCTCCCCTACCTATAACTCAGGTTACTAGCGCAGGGTCTGCAAACTTTCTTTTTTTTTCTTTTTTCTTTTTTTGAGATGGAGTTTTGCTCTGTCGCCCAGGCTGGAGTGCTGTGGCGTGATCTTGGCTCACTGCAAGCTCCGCCTCCCGGGTTCATGCCATTCTCCTGCCTCAGTCTCCCGAGTAGCTGGGACTACAGGCGCCCGCCACCATGCCCGGCTAAGTTTTTTGTATTTTTTAGTACAGACGGGGTTTCACTGTGTTAGTCAGGATGGTCTCTATCACCTGACCTCATGATCCGCCTGCCTCAGCCTCCCAAAGTGCTGGGATTACAGGCATGAGCCACTGCGCCCGGCCTACGTCTGCAAACTTTCAATAGCTCATAAATATCTTCTGGGAGAAACTACAAGCCTGAGTGTGTCCCTAAAGTTCACTCTACTTTTGTGAAACAGCATCTCCATTTTCCACATTTCTACCTGTCAAAGTCTTAGCGTTGTTAACACTGACGCCCAGCTTCAGGAACAGCTCTTCCCTGAAACCCCACCTCCCCACCTCTGCTACGATGAAGGATCTCACCCTCTGTGTTCCTGGCACAGTCTGGGGGCACATTTAAGGATCAGACACCTTGCAGCCCTGGGCCTACCTGGATGTTAGCTGTGGCTGTGATGGACAGCTCTGGCCACGCGGACAGTAACGTGCAGTGTTGTGCAACCATCACCAATCTCTAATTCCGGATCATTTCCATCACCTCCAAAGGGAAGCCCATGCCCATCAGTGTCACTCCCCATTCCACCCTCCCCCAGCCCCATTCGGACACCCATCTACTTTCTGGCTCTATGGATTTGCCTGTTCTGGGACATTTCATGCAAATGGAGTCGCACACTGGCCTTTTGGGCCTGGTTTCTTTCACTCCGCATGATGTTTTCGCGGCTCATCCGTGCTACCGCGTGGCCCGGGCTGCATTCCTCCTTAGGGCTGAATCGTATACCCCCGTATGGACAGACTGTTCGTTCACCCATTCATCCGCTGATGGACGTGTGCGTTGTTTCCACCTTTTGGCAACTGTGAATAGTGCGCTACAGGGTCTTACTCTGTTGCCCAGGCTGGAGTGCAGTGGCTCAATCATGGCTCACTGCAGCCTCCAACTCCTGGGATCAAGTGATCCTCCTGCCTCATCCTCCCAAGTAACTGGAACTACAGGTGCCACCACACTTAAGTTTTTCTTTTTTTTTGAGATGGAGTCTGACTCACTCTGTTGCCTAGGCTGGAGTGCAGTGGCGCAATCTCAGCTCACTGCAACCTCCGCCTCCCAGGTTCAAGCGATTCTCCTGCCTCAGCCTCCCAAGTAGCTGGGATTACAGATGCCCACCACCATACCCAGCTAATTTTTGTATTTTTAGTAGATATGGGGTTTCACCACGTTGGCCACGCTGGTCTCAAACTCCTGACCTCAAGTGATCTGCCCGTCTTGGCCTCCCAAAGTGCTGGGATTACAGGTGTAAGCCACCACACCCGGCCCAAGTTTTTTTTTTTTTTTTTTTGAGACGAGGTCTTGCTCTGTCACCCAGGCTGGAGTGTAGTGGTGCGATCTCGGCTCACTGCAACCTCTGCCTCCCGGATTCAAGCAATTCTCCCGCCTCAGCCTCCCGAGTAGCTGGGACTACAGGCATGGGCCACCACGCCTGGCTAATTTTTTTGTATTTTTAGTAGAGATGGGGTTTCACCATATTGGCCAGGCTGGTCTCGAACTGCTGACCTTTGTGATCTACACACCTCGACCTCCCAAAGTGCTGGGATTACAGGCATGAGCCACCGTATCCAGCCAAGTTTTTAATTTTTAAAGAATTTTTTGTAGAGATGGGGTCTCACTATGTTGCCCAGACCAGTCTTCAGCTCCTGGCCTCAAGTGATCTTCTTGATCCCTTTGCCTCAGCCGCTCAAAGGGCTGGGATTACAAGTGCAGGTGACTGCACCTGGCCTTCATGTAAAAGTTTGAACACCTGTTCTCAATTCTTTTGGATATGTGCCTAGGAGTGGAATTGCTGGGTCATATGGTACCGTGTGGTACTAAGGTCTGGACTAACTAATGTCTGCCTCCCACACTAAACTGTAAGCTCCATGTGGACAGGGATCATGTCTGTATTTTGCTCGCTATTTTATCCTCTGGGCTGGCTACATGGTCAAAAATCATTGGTATGAATAAATAAATAAATGGCAGGTGCCTAATAACCACCACTGAGGTGGGAGAATGCAGAGTCTGGGGTTCCAGCCCCTCAGCTGTATGTCTTCAGGCCAGTAGCTTGACTCTCTGAGCCTCTCGTTTTCTCTCTCTCTTTCTCTCTTTTTTCTTTTTTTGAGACAGGTCTGGCTCTGTTACCCAGGCTGGAGTGCAGTGGTGCAATCATGGCTCACTGCAGCCTTGAACTCCTGGGCTCAAGTGATTTTCCTGCCTAAGCCTCTCAGGCAGCTGGTACTACAGGTGTGCACCACCACGCACGGGCTAATTAAAAAAAAAAATGTTTGTAGAGAACTGGGGTCTTGCTATGTTGCCCAGGCTGGCCATTTTCTTAAGTATAAAGGGGAAAACAAGGCAACCCTGCCTGCCTTGAGCCAACCCCCAGACTTACCCTCCACTACCACCTCTGCACCCAGCTTCCTGCTCACCTCAGGCTCCTCCTCCCCATTCTGGCTGTGCTCCCCCTGCAGCCTCTCTCGCAACTTCCCCAGCTCTGCTCGCAGACTGCCCATCTCTTGCTCCTTGGTCTGCAGGTCTGCCTCCAGCTCCACCTTCTGTTCGATCAGGGCTTTCCCCTGGGCCTCCACCACCGTGACCCGGTGCCGAAGGTCATGGTTGATCTTCATCAGCCGTGTCTGCTGCTGCTGTAACTGTACAAAAAGGGAGACCATTGTGCAGGGCTGCTACCTGCAGTAGCTCAAGTTGTGCACTGCACAATGGCAAACCATCCTTAGGTGTGTCATTTATATTGCAGACATCTTTGTTTGAAAGTTGTTCATATTCTTATAACTGATGATGCTAGAGATGGGCAATTTGTGTATTTACTATGACAATTTTATGGCAAATGGAAGCGTGTCTTGCTAGAATTAATACATTATGAACATTTCCCAACAGATGGAAGTAACATGACTTCAGAAAGGGGCATTTTTCTCTGATTTACACAGAAACACTGTATGGGTTCCTGGAGCATGCTGGACGCTGCTAAGTCTGCTCCCAGAGAGGCATGAAGCTGGGGGGCTGGAGGAGGCCTTGGGGTCAGAGCTAAGGCTGCCAAGGCCTCAGGACCTTCCCAGGAGGCGGGAGGAGCCTGCTCACTGGGCAGTGCCACGTTCCCTCCTGCTCTGCCAGTGAAGTCTTGCTGTTTCCAGGCTGGGCCCGCCAAGCCATGAGCAGGATCCACACCCCACGGAGCCCTAAGAATGATAGCAAGGGAGAGAAGGGACCTGCTGAGTGGAGGGTCTGGTCTCTGGCTGGCACCTACTGGCTGGGAGGGTGGACACAGGTCAGGGGTGTGTCACTCACAGCCTCGACGTCCTCATTTTTCAGGCCCAGCTCCCTGTCCTTGGCACGGATCTCATCGCGTTGTTTGTCCACCACCTCCTTCAGCTTCTTCATCACCTGCCGCTCCCGCTCTGACATGCCTGGGTGGGCAAATGAGACTGGCAGGTGAGCCCACCTTACTCCTCTGTGGAAATCATCCACCGCTTCTGCTGAGGATGAAACTGAGATCTCAGTGGGCCCCAGCCTCATCCCCAGCCTCATCCTCTACGCCCTCCACTCACTCCCTTCACCCTCCCCCGTGCCTGCTTGATATTCCTTGATTCCCCCTGAGCTCACTCCCACCTTGAAGCCTCTTCCTTACCCGTTAGTCCCTTCCTTCTCACCTCCCCATGGCTGGTGCACCTCATTTTTCAGGCCTCAGCCCAAACGTCACCTCTTCACAGAGGCCTCCCTTTCTCTGACCACCCAGTGACAGCCCCCACCTTCCACCCACCCGATACGTTCATTTCCCTGCATGCCTGACCCACCATGTATTACCTTTATGGCACTTTTTTACAATTCCTATGTGTGTCTTACATTCTTTTTTTTTTTTTTTTTTGAGACGGATTCTCACTTTGTTGCCCAGGCTGGAGTGGAGTGGTGCAGTCTTGGCTTTCTGCAACCTCTGCCTCCTAGGCTCAAGTGATCTTCCCACCTCAGCTTCCCAAGTAGCTTGAGGCAACAGAAATGTGCTACCTCGCCTGGCTAATTTTTGTGTTTTTAGTAGAGATGGGGTTTCACTATGTTGACCAGGCTAGTCTCAAACTCCTGACTTCAAGTGATCTACCCACCTCGGCCTCCCAAAGTGCTGGGATTACAGGGGTGAGCCACCGCGCCCGGCCTCTTACATGCTTTTATCTGACGAAAGATGACACAGCACAGTGATTTACAGGGTAAGCTCCAGCTCAGACACTGGCTCTCCTATTTATCAGCGGTTTGGTTTGGAGCTAGTGTCTTGTGCCTCAGTTTCCACCTCTATAAAGTAGTGATAACAGTCCCCACAACTCATAGGGCTGTTGTGAGGATTGATTATGTCAACCTAAATAATAAACAGAGAAAGTTCTCTAAAATAAGAGATGGGCCAGGCACCGTGGCTCACGCCTGTAATCCCAGCACTTTGGGAGGCTGAGGCGGGTGGATCACCTGAGGTCAGGAGCTTGAGACCAGCCTGGCTGACAAGGTGAAACGCTGTCTCTACTAAAAATACAAAAAAAATTAGCCAGGTGTGGTGGTGCATGCCTGTAATCCCAGCTACTCGGGAGGCTGAGGCAGGAGAATTGCTTGAACCTGGGAGATGGAGGCTGCAGCGAGCCGAGATCGTGCCATTGGACTCCAGCCTGGGTGACAAGAGCAAGACTCTGTCTCAAAAAATAAAAAGTAAATAAAATTTAAAAATAAAATAAAATAAAAGATGGCCATACATGTTGGCTCACGCCTGTAATCCCAGTGCTTTGGGAGGCTGAGGCAGGAGGATCACTGAGGCCAGGAGTCTGAGAGCAGCTTGGGCAACATAATGAGACCCTGTTTCTACAAAAAGTTTTTTTTTTTTTTTAACTAGCCAAGCATAGTGGTGTCCACTTGTAGTCTCAGCTACTTAGGAGGCTGATGAGGATCACTTGAACCCAGGAGTTTGAGGATGCAGTGGGCTCTGACTACACCACTGTACTCCAGGCCTGGGTGACAGAACAAGACCCTGTCTCAAAAACAAAACAAAACTAGACAAAACAAAACAAAAAAAACCAACCCAGAAAACAAAATAAAAACTGTAATCCCAGCACTTTGGGTGGCCCAGGCAGGCAGATCACCTAGGTCGGGAGTTCTAGACCAGCCTGACCAACATGGAGAAACCCCGTCCTTACTAAAACTACAAAATTAGCCAGGCGTCGTGGCACATGCCTGTAACCCCAGCTACTCGGGAGGCTGAGGCAGGAGAATAGCTTGAACCCGGGAGGTGGAGGTTGCAGTGAGCCGAGATCGCACCAGTGCACTCCAGCCTGGGCAACAAGAGTGAAACTCCATCTCAAACAAAAAAAAAAAAAAAAAAGGAAAAGCTATTTGGGAGTAGAGTGTTGCAATGGGAATCCGCCTGCCATAGTAAACTATGTGTATTCAGGGAGGTAAAGGAAGACAAAGATTTTTAAAGGAAAAAATAAGGAGGGTTATATAATTGTTTAAAGTATTAATAATTATCCTTGGCTATAAAGATAGATCAATAACAAGGGTGACTGTAGTCTGAGGCTGGACCGGCTACTGCCAGGCAGACGTCGGGCAGAAGTCTTTTTGTGTAAGGTTACAAAGGCCTTTGTGCAAAGCTGTCGCTTTTCCACAGTCTTTTTTGTTATCGGGCATGCAAGCGTGAAAACCCTCTCTTCATGGCCTTCCCGGGTTCCATTTGTCAGGGTTTTGGGTAACACTGGTGACCCCATTTTGATTCAGACAACTTTCACAGTTAATACACACAGAGCCCTGAAGATGGTGTCTGGCACGCTGCAGGCGGGCGAGGTCCACCCTCATCCCTACCCCCAACTAGATTGTCAGCCACAGGAGGGCAACGCCCTGTCTGCCCTAGTCACTGTTACATTCCCTGGGCCCCACATGGTGCCTAGCACACCGCAGGTGCCTATTAAGTTATTGTTGAATTAATGACCTGTGAGGATGGGTGCTGTGTCAGTTTCCTGCACCTGCTGTAACAAATGACCAATAATTTTGGTATCTCAACACATCAGAAATTTATTTTCTCATAGCTCTAGAAGCCAGAAGGTCCAAATGAGCCTGAAATCAAGGTGTTACCAGGGCTATGCTTCCTCTGGAGCCTCTAAGGGAGATTTTTTTTATTTTTTTGAGACAGAGTCTCGCTGTGTCACCCAGGCTGGAGTGCAGTGGCGTGATCTTGGCTCACTGCAGCCTCTGCCTCTTGGGTTCCAGTGATTCTCCTGCCTCAGCCTCACAAGTAGCTGGGATTACAGGCATGTGCCATCATGACTTTTTTTCTTTTCTTTTTTTTTGAGACGGAGTCTCACTCTGTGGCCCAGGCTAGAGTGCAGTGGCATGATCTTGACTCACTGCAAGCTCCGCCTCCCAGCTTCACACCATTCTTCTGCCTCAGCCTCCTGAGTAGCTGGGACTACAGGCGCCTGCCACCACACTTGGCTAATTTTTTGTATTTTCAGTAGAGACAAGGTTTCACCATGTTAGCCAGGATGATCTCGATCTCCTGACCTCGTGATCTGCCCGCCTTAGCCTCCCAAAGTGCTGGGGTTTACAGGCGTGAGTCACTGACTGTGCCCAGCCATTTTTTTGTTTTGTTTTGTTTTTTGAGATAGAGTCTCACTCTGTAGCCCAGACTAGAGTGCAGTGGTGTGATCTCAGTTCACTGCAACCTCTGTCTCCGGGGTTCAAGTGATTCTCCTGCCTCAGCCTCCCAAGTATCTGGGATTACAGGCACCCGCCACAACCCAGCTACTTTTTTTGTATTTTTAGAAGAGACAGGGTTTCCCATGAGATATTTTTTTTTTTCTCAAAGTCTTACAGCCAAGAACTCAAGCCCAGGTTTTCTGACTCCAGATCCCATGTCTTCTCCGTGATACCAGGCTGCCTTGCCACCAGGGCACGAGACGCAGAAGGCTCCCTTAAGGTCACCAGAATGTGTCACTATGGGGCAGACTCTGATCTCCACTTTCTCCCAGACAGAGTCACCTTCTGGGGGTGCCCTCACATATTTTTGCATACGTGCACACATGTGTACCCTCACAAGAATATTCACCCATCTGGCCGGGCGCAGTGGCTCAAGCCTGTAATCCCAGCACTTTGGGAAGCCGAGACGGGCGGATCACGAGGTCAGGAGATCGAGACCATCCTGGCTAACACGCGCGCAGCTTACGCTCTGGAGGGCTGAGGCAGGAGAATGTGCCAAACCCAGGAGGCGGAGCTTACAGTGAGCTGAGATCCAGCCACTGCACCCCAGCCTGGCGACAGAGCGAAGACTCTGTCTCAAAAAAAAAAAAAGAAATTCACCATCAAGTTTTTTTGTTGTATTTTTTTTTTTTGAGACGGAAGTTCTCCTCTGGTGCGCCCAGGCTGGAGTGGCGGTAGGATTCTCGCTGCAGCTGCCAACCTCTACCCGTCCTCGGTGTCAAGCAATCATCCGCGGCCTCAGCCTCGCTGAGTAGCTGGAGCTACACTGGCATACGCCCACATGCTGCAATTTTTGTTTTTTTTTTTTTTTTTGAGCGGAGTCTCGCTGTGTCTCCCAGGCTGGAGTGCAGTGGGCCTGATCTCGGCTCACTGCAAGCTCTGCCTCCGCGGGTTCACGCATTCTCCGCGCCTCAGCGCCAAGTAGCTGGGACTACGGGCGCGCCCGCCACCAGCGGCCCGGGCTAGTTGCTTGTTGTATTTTTGAGTGAGGAGACGGGGTTCACCAGGT